TTTTTTTTTTTTTTTGGGGGGAGGGGAGTCAGAAAGATGGGTTTGGAGAAAATAGTCCAAATGACTCTGAAATCTTCTATTTGAATTAAAAATTTAATTTTAGGCTCCTAAACTTAGCCCGCAGTTGATCTGAATATTAAACCAATGATCATAGGTTCTGTCAAACATAAAAGGTTGAGCTTGGAAAGATGAGTTAAGGATGTAAAATATATTTGTACCCGTTAACACATGTATGAATTAGATTGATCAAAGACAAAATAGTTATTTATAAGACAAATAGTTGTTAATAATTATAATATATCCGTAGGTTTTTATGTATATGTGTTGCATGTCAAACATGAGTACAAAACAAATTTAATGTTGAATCTCATCTTTGTAAAGAATAATTTGAATTTAAATTTTAGTTTAGAAGAAATTAAGAAAGTAAATCCAAACCATCTCCAAAATTTCATCCAAACAAGTCCCAAGAGTTCTCTCTCTCGCCAGGAACCGCTGCTGGAAAATTGGCTGACATCTATCTTTTTGTGCCTCTTTTCCATGCCTAAGTTGCTCATTGTATTTGGCTTTTAAGTCAACGAAAAGGATTGAAATCTACAATCAAAGCTGGGATGGAAGGATTTCAGTAGTCAATACTTCTAAATCCTTAGTACCATTTGAGTTATCCTGACAATTTTAATCCATTGCTGATAATTTAAGTTTTGGTAATTTGAGTTGAAAAGTATTTTAACCCCCAAAAAAAAAAAAAACTTGACTTGAAAAGACAGACTCAAGTAAAAAGGTTTCAGATCCTCTCCATTACCCCTTTTCTTCAATTCCTCTCAATATAATGTTAAATGAGTGATATGTATAATATTTTGAATTTCAATGGATAAAATTTTTTTCTTGTCAGAAAATTCCTTAATAATGATTAACACTCCATCAACAACAAAAATGAATGAGGAAACATCTTATTCATTGAAATTCAAAATCTTATACGTGTCACTCATCTAGCACTGTATTAAGAAAAATTGAAGAGAATGGGTAATAGAGGGGATCTAAATCCAAGTAAAAAGAATGGGGTTTTTTCGACTCGATTATCAAAATAATAAAAAATAAAAAATGGGTTGAAGTTGGGGGTCCTTTTCAATTTATCTGTTAATCTATATTTGTGATCCCACTNAAAGAATGGGTAATAAAGAGGATCTAAATCCAAGTAAAAAGAAGGGGGTTTTTTCGACTCGATTATCAAACTAATAAAAAATAAAAAATGAGTTGAAGTTGGGGGTCCTTTTCAATTTATCTGTTAATCTATATTTGTGATCCCACTTGACACACAATAGAAACTAATCTTGGCGATAAAATTTTTAAGGGTAGATCAAGTGATAAGAAAGATGAATTGTAAACCTAAACGTCTTAAATTTGAATCTTAACAACTCATTGGAACTAGGACATGAGGGATTTATCCCTCATCAATACCTTAATCTCGGCATGAATGACTTGTCTTTGACTNAGACGTCTTGAATTTAAATTTTAACAACTCATTGGAACTAGGACATAAGGGATTTATCCCTCATCAATACCTTAATCTCGGCATGAATGACTTGTCTTTGACTAAATTGAGAAGAGAATTAGTCGAAATGCATATAAATTGATCCGAAAGAACTCAATCTTATAATACACATACTTTGATCCCATATATAAACAGAATTTACTCGCTAGTTTAATTCCTCAGTCTTAGTTATGGACTATGAATTCTACTTTTCAACTAAATATGTAGAGGATTCACCCGAACACTGAATTCTTATTAATTTTGTCCATATTGGGTCATTTTATTTTGTATTGATGAGAGATTCACCGTGTATTAATCAAGAAATTAAGAAAATTAAATACTAGAGTAGATGAAAATATATCTCATATATATTTCCTAAAAAGTCTTAGAAGTTTTTGTTTTATAGATGAGAAATTTACACTAATTTTCAAGGGTAATACAGGTGCGGTCGCTAGATTGAGATCTAACAGAGACTTTGACCGTCTCATATCAGGTGAAGAGAAAGGGGTGGTGGGCTTAATAGGGCTCACACCTACAATATAACTTTTATAAACAGTACATTTTAACCAATTAAACTATAAGTCCTTACGAATCTTTACATGTAATTCGCTCACTTCAGGATTTATCACTTGAATCCATGAGACACAAAAACTCTTTAAATTTCTGAGTAGCAGAGTCCGGCAAGCAGATACACACAACCATTGCTCCATTTGATTCAGCATCCCCTTCAGGTAGGAATACACAAACCTGAGGGGTTGGAGTTATGTCTATTGGGCCTGCATATACGGGCCGGCCCCATCCAAAATCTGCGGACTCGTATATCAAAAATCTGGTCCATTGGGTTACTGTCAATTTCCCACCAAATTCCAGCCTATTGGGCCTGTCCACTTCAATAAAATCAACTGTGGATCTCAAGTACTCCTCCGAGACCCCTAAACGGGCCTCACGGATCAATCCACATGTGCCCGAAAGACTCTCATTAACAAGGTCGGAAACAGTACTGCTGACACACGCCACGCAGATCGCATTGCCGTAAAACCCGTCTTTTACCGGCAGCTTTTTAAGCTTTGGACGAGCATTAACGGAAAATGTGAGTCGGAGCTCATAATCCGACGGTTTAACATCAAGTGCTTTAACCCATGATCTCCAAACATGAGCTGCCATTGCATCAAAAGTGGTACATGTAGAGTTGTCGGGTGATCGGGCCAGGCTTTTTAAATGGGCCTGAAACTCTCGACTGATCCGATAACACTTCTGTATGGGCTTAACTTCCCATAGACATTTTGTTAAACTTGAACCATCGTCAATTTTCCTAAATTCAATATGGGGATATTTAACCATAGGCGGAACACGAGGATGAAAAATTTCTCGATCCCAACAGGGCTCAGGAACCACCANTTAGAAGTTTTTGTTTTATAGATGAGAAATTTACACTAATTTTCAAGGGTAATACAGGTGCGGTCGCTAGATCGAGATCTAACAGAGACTTTGACCGTCTTATATCAGGTGAAGAGAAAGGGGTGGTGGGCTTAATAGGGCTCACACCTACAATATAATTTTTATAAACAGTACATTTTAACCAATTAAACTATAAGTCCTTACGAATCTTTACATGTAATTCGCTCACTTCAGGATTTATCACTTGAATCCATGAGACACAAAAACTCTTTAAATTTCTGAGTAGCAGAGTCCGGCAAGCAGATACACACAACCATTGCTCCATTTGATTCAGCATCCCCTTCAGGTAGGAATACACAAACCTGAGGGGTTGGAGTTATGTCTATTGGGCCTGCATATACGGGCCGGCCCCATCCAAAATCTGCGGACTCGTATATCAAAAATCTGGTCCATTGGGTTACTGTCAATTTCCCACCAAATTCCAGCCTATTGGGCCTGTCCACTTCAATAAAATCAACTGTGGATCTCAAGTACTCCTCCGAGACCCCTAAACGGGCCTCACGGATCAATCCACATGTGCCCGAAAGACTCTCATTAACAAGGTCGGAAACAGTACTGCTGACACACGCCACGCAGATCGCATTGCCGTAAAACCCGTCTTTTACCGGCAGCTTTTTAAGCTTTGGACGAGCATTAACGGAAAATGTGAGTCGGAGCTCATAATCCGACGGTTTAACATCAAGTGCTTTAACCCATGATCTCCAAACATGAGCTGCCATTGCATCAAAAGTGGTACATGTAGAGTTGTCGGGTGATCGGGCCAGGCTTTTTAAATGGGCCTGAAACTCTCGACTGATCCGATAACACTTCTGTATGGGCTTAACTTCCCATAGACATTTTGTTAAACTTGAACCATCGTCAATTTTCCTAAATTCAATATGGGGATATTTAACCATAGGCGGAACACGAGGATGAAAAATTTCTCGATCCCAACAGGGCTCAGGAACCACCATAAGCTTTCCCGTCTTTGCTGTGGCGGCCCATGCAGCGAGAAACTGCATGGCACCAAGCCCATCACAGAGGCAATGGCAAATCCTTAACCCAAGGCTAAAACCACCACAGCTAAATCGAGTCACCTGAGCAATTACCAATGGCATGTCAATAACTTTATAAGGTTCTTCATCGGGGAATCGATAGATCAACGTTGTCCATGCAGGATTTGGGACCGCAAGATCTCCAAGGTCCACTAAGCGCATACCCGATTGGGCCTCGATCATGAGTGCACCCTGGCCCGGCCCAAAAAAAACTTCTAACTTCCCATTCTTTCTCTCTCTCAGCCTACCTGAAAAGGGATAGTATGGAACTAAAACACTAGCAAGAGCATCTCTAACTATTGTAGTGACAGTTTTTTGTTCATAATTCGAACAGTTTGATCGGTAAAAATACACGGTAGGGGTGAAAACACGTGCTCCGATCATGTCATCTAGGTTCGAGAGGTAAAGGGTGTCGCCCGGGGTGGCGGGAATCGGTCCTGCAGGGAGGACAGGAGAAATTTGTTGTATGGTTATGGGGATGTCAAGGTGAGGGAATTGGAGTTCTTGAACCCGAGGAGGAGGAGGAGCCATGAGAGAGAGTTTTTGAGAGAGGACATGCAAGAAATGGCATTTGTAGAAAATTGAGCTGGAATTTTTCTTTAAGACAGAAACACAAAGATGTTGGGCTAGAGAAATGGTTCTTTTTTAAGTAGTTTTTTGGTGTGAGACAGTTGATGTTGGTAATCTTTATGATTGAACCTAATAGTTATTAATTTAGCATTTTTTTTTTATCTGTAAATAATTTCCAGTGACAGTTGGCATGAAGAATGCATGAAAGAGGTTGCTGAGGGTATAATATACATTATTTTTCCCATTTTATTGGTATATATATATAGTCACAGGCAATGGAATTCCAGGGATGCCTTCTAATGGTATGTCTAGCTTTCCCCCTCTTTTACTGCTATTTATCCCCATCTCTATTGTCTAGGGTTGCAACTTAGACAAGTCAATTAAAACCCAATTCAAAAGTATTCACCATTTAGACATGTTTTTTGAATAAAACATTACAATTTGATTTAAATTTAGATAGCATTCGAGTTGAGATCGTGGATTTTTGGTCAAGGTTCAAGTTACATTAAACCCAAGCAAAAATCCAAATAGTGTAACCGAAAAATTGAACCCGATCTGAACCTAAATTACAACCCAAGAATTGAATCTAATTCAAGGCTGTATGGCATAACCAAAGTTCAAAATTTTATGCATTGTTCGGTTAGAACATTGCATTGTGGATTCATAATTTGAATTGGATCTGGATTGACCTCTCAAACTGATTAAGTTACACCCTACATATGCCAAGCCCCCCACATCAACAAAACCCACCCAAAAAAAAGGAAAAAAAAACACCAACCAAGGATCCCCTGTCCCATCAGTCAAGAAGAAAACAGAGTTGGGAAAAACAAAAAGAAAGAAGAGAAAAGAGAAGAAAGATGAAATGCATATGTAATTCTTTGTTCTGAAAATCCTAAGATCGCCAAGATGATAAAAATTAAGTTTTGGAAGCTTACTTCTTCTATTTTCTTGAGTTTTTAGGGCATCAAGGTGAGAAAACCTGTTTTCTTCTTGCCAGAACTTGCTAATGCAAGGTAGGAGTGATCCTATCAATACCTACGAAAATCAGACCAGACACATAAACATAGATCACAGCCGATTGCAACAGTTTGTGCACCTATTCATACAGATGTGATGAGAGATTTACAGCCTAGTACAAGATGCCTATAATCCTAATGAATATGCCTCTATCAGCCCTTTTAAGTCCCTTCTGCATAAGCCTTTGAACCTAATAGGTAACTTGTTGACATACACACACAAAAGCACTTACAAGCATTGATAGTAAAAGATACAAACACAAGCCTCAGAGTGTGTGGACAGGATAATTCAGTGTGTCTGAGTTCCCAAGACTCCCAACAAAACAGCAAAGTAGTTGATAACAACAGTGAAACGAATGCAGTTCCAATATAAACAGAAACATCATGAGCCAAAAATATTCAAGATTCAGTACCATCCACGAAAGTTTGTACAAAAGAAAAACTGTCCAGCAGGTAAGTGAAAATGAAAAACAAAACATTGAGGAGATCTATTGAGTCCTACTTTCAAGATTCTTAGTAATTTTCTGTCTAGTAAATCAAAATACTTTCTTGAAACCAAATTTTGATGTTTATTCTCCATGAACAAAGGGATGCAGGCCGAGAGCGAACACAAAAAAAAAAAAAAATGGCCTAACGCTGTGGTTGCTGGTTGTAGTGATTCTTCTCCTTTTTCTTTGCGGCAGCTAGCCTTGCATTCCTTGCAGCAGCCTCACTAGCAGCAGCTCTAGCGGCAGCATCCATCTCCTTGTTTGATTTTTTTTTCTTCATGGATGCCATTTTCTTCATTTTTTCTTTAACATCAACAGCAGATATGTCTTCTGCCTTCTCGGTCTCAGCAGCTTCATCAGTTCCATTTCCAGCTTCAGCACCATTGGGCTGATCCAGTTGTTCTTTAGCCTCCTTCAAAGCTTTATCCTTCTTTTTCTTCTTTTTGGCACTTCTGCTCTCCCCAGCATCATTAGTCTCCTTCTTCACCTCTTCACTGGGATTCTCTACCTTCTTTTCTTCTTCAACACCTAAAAGTGAGGGTAAGAGGACCAAGAAATATCATATCAGAGTTGCTACTATATACAAACAAAAGTGACCACAGCAATAAGCACGGGAAACAAAGAAATTTCAGGGAAGGGATAAATATAAAGATCTAACACAAGTCCCAATTATTACATGAAATTTAATCAACATAGAAACTTGTGTGCTTGAGTGTGATAGATAGATCACTGAATTACCACAGGAATCTTCTTGGCCACTGGCCTCGGACTTGGCATATCCCAATTCTGCAAGCACTGCATCAAATTCTGCAAGGTCCTTTTTCTTCAATTCTTTCTTTGAAAGCTGCCTCTCAGGCTCCTTGGGTCTCATAACTTCAGCAGGCTTCTTAACAACTGGCTTTTTCTCTACTGGCACTTCAGGTTCATGGTCATGTTCTTCCTCATTATCATCATCAACCTCATCTAGACCTTCTTCCTCACTTTCACTTTCCTGGAATGCCCAAGTAATACATCAAAATCAATCTACAATCTATCATTTTTGAGGGAAACGATGGGTAAATAAAAATCATCAAATCTAATGAAGGCTAAAATGAAAAAGAAATTAAGCAGCCAAAACTATGATCATGTGAAGATATCCTGGAGATCAGTTCATCTCAAGTTGAAGGTAAACAATCCGATATGCAAAAAAGAAGATATAACATCAGCACAGGCGAAGGGACAAGGGGAAACATAATGCAAGTACATCTGACATGGCTCGAGAGAAGAACAAAAATAATCAATTTGATAAGAGTCCTTAACATCAACTAAGGGGCGAAAATTGCCTCTAAAATATTCAAAGGTGTCCAGCCCTCTCTAAGCCATGGTAGCAGCATCTTCATCAGCCAAAAAAAGAACCCCCACCCCCCCCACTCCCCAAAAAAAAAAAACACAAAACAACAAAAAAAAAACCAAAGAAAAAACAAAAAACACTGGGGAAAAGAAAAGGGGAAAAATACACCACTATTTGCCTTAAGAGCTGGGAACTAATCCTCCTATACACAATCAATCAACTAAAACACCCCACGGAAGAGTTCCTGAGAGAAATAATATATGTGCCTCTGTGCCAATCATTGAAGAAACCAGAAGAATTTGCCACTATCCAATCACCCATGATAATAACTGAAACCAAAGTCAAGATCATATACAGCTACAGAACCAAATTTTCAATGTTTTCTGATACACACTTTTTTGTATGTAAAATTTTTCCTGTTTGTTTATATCCAAAGATTATAGCATTCCTTTCCAACACAGTGACCTAAATCATGTGCAAAAGAGCACAACCACAGATGACTTGGACTCTCTCAACTTGCAAGAGTCACTATAACAATTCTAATATTTTTAGGTCAGAAAGTGATTTTTATGTAGTCTAATTACAGAGCAATCATAAAAAATCATTACCTCGTGGTAAAGATTTCTTAATTCCCATTTGTCAACCTAACCTCAATTCAAAATCAACCGACCATTAGTCATCTTTTGGCACCTGGGGATCATACTTGCAATATCTATTTTGGATCATAACATCTAAAACACTCTAAAGCTACATCAGACCCAACGCCATTTCCCGCATGCTCTTAGTTTCATTCTACATTCTGGCTGCTTAGGCAGTAAATGGAAATCACCGGACCAAACTGGTTCTCTTTTCCCTTATCAGTTGCCAGATGTCCTGAACTGCTTGTAGGACAAGATGTAGCAAAGACACAGTTTAAGTAAAAGGGGAAGCCAACGGTTATACCTAATAATAATAGCAGAACAGCAAAAAATATGTTTGGAAAACAAATGAATGATTATCAAATAGACAGATATGTCTGGTTGAAAAACTACTAAAACAAGTGTAAGTGAAACTGTTTGTGTTAGCACACCACAATTGGGACCGTCAACATTAGATGAAATACCGTCCAAAAAGGGACGTGTATTGAAGAAGATTAAGAGAAAGAGTCAGTTGGAGTTTCTTCTGTAAAATTTCAGAGTGTATTTAAGTCCGAACTAATATTGTCAGATGATCTCTAGTTGTTCGCAAAGATAGAAGAATTCTATGTTTGGCATCAGACAAGAAGCTTCTTGGGCAATTAAAATTCATCTAGTTCCATATAAAAATCTTTCTAATTAAAGATACAACTCTTGATCTATTGTGATAAAGATTTCTCAATTCCCGTTTGTCAATCTCAAACGAACTAAGGACCGGTGCAAAATTTATACTACATCGTTCCAGAGCTTCACTCATCCTGTGCGCCACTCGGTTAGTAAAAGGGAAACCCCAGATCAAACAGGTCTCGTTCCCCTTATCAGTGCCATCATCAACCCAATTGTTAAATTGACATGGATTGTGTATGAATAACTGACAAAGCTATAAACGATGTGGTCATCCCTGTCGGGTATTTATTTCTGTAATAAATGCAAAAGAGACAGATGAGTGCAGGGAAAGAAAAAGGTAACGGTCATAACTGATATTAACAACAGAAACGAATGAAAATTCTTGCAGCAAAAATTGATTACGTGATACATGGACAAGCCCATTCAAATAAGGGTAAACACCCCCTGTGCGTGTGTAGTTAAGTCTAAATTCAATGACACTCCCTCCCAATTCTGAAATTTTACTACATCTCGTTCTGGTTTGTTCCGTAGAATCATTGACATCCCCTAAAGGTAACTTTCATCTCTGAAACTAAAAAAAGTGCACAATTTGACTACCTATACTTTGAAAATACCAAACTTACCCTTTGTTAGACAAAAATGCCCTCAACCCTTTACCCCATAATATATGCCCTAAGCCAACAACAANATGTGTTTATTAATTTGTGTCTAATGAGTTGTATTATATCAAATTTTGTGTCATGTATCATTCATCTATAATTGATATAAGAGCAAGTTGTATTGTGTATTTCTTTTGATTAATTTTACCTACATCTTAATCGTTTATCAATCGTGTCGTGTCGAGACCACTCGTTTGCAAAATAGGTGGATTACAAAAATTCAAAACNCATTTAATTCATCTAATTAATATTCAATTTAATTAAACTAATACCAAATTGATATTTAATTTTATAAAATTAATACCAAATTAAAATTCAATTTAATCAAATTAACTATCAATTTTATTAATTTAACATTCATTTGTATTATATCAAAATTAAATTTCATTAAATGAATACAAAATTTTACCAAATTAACGTAAAATTGATCTTAAATTTTATAAAATTACGATTTTAAATCTTAAATTCAATTTTAGTTATATATATTAAGATATAGCATTTTATCAAAAAGAAACAGAAAAAAATTCTCTCCCTTTGTCTCTCTCTCTTACTGTCTCCACTACTACGTCGCCTTGACCTCTCCAACAGCAACCCCACCTCTCTTTCTCCCTCTCTCAGTTTGATTCCTTCTCCCCATAATCGAAAAACCACCCCCAACACAACCCACCCTATGCCTCCCCTGCCATCCACCACCACGTACCCCCACCCTCTACTACACCCCTTGGTTACTAGTAAGCCAATTTTAGAGGATGAGACAGATTCAAGAGAGAAAGAACCAAAATTAGGAAGATTCACAATAAAAATTCAATGGCCATGGAGGTTCCTGAAAATCAAGCTATATGCATCGTTTGCATCACCCGTCGATTTCAGCTGCATTATCACTGCGTACAACCACCATACCATTACTGTGCACAACCACCACTCATCACTCGTCGATTTCAGCTCCATTGAAGCTCAACCTTCTTTCTCTCTATCTTTGTGCCAAACGAGTAAGCGATTGCGATTTAGGGCATGGCTCCGGTTACAAACCCTTCTTCCTCCCCCCCCCCCCCCCCCCCT